GCTCCCACAGAGTGGGTCTCCTCAGGGTGCCGTCAGCCAGACAGTGCCGGCTGGCGACCCCCAGGGGGAGGGCCTTCTCGGTGGGAGCTCCCACCCTCTGGAACGAACTACCCCCAGAGATCCGGGTGATCCCGGATCTCCCTTCCTTCCGCCGCGCCCTTAAGACATGGCTCTTCCAACAAGCGGGATTGGCCTAGGGAATTTTTAGTGGGGTTTTAAGAATAATTTTAAATTGACACAGGCCACATCAAATATTTCATTTTAATTAGGTTTTAAAGTGGGTATTTTTATCTTTGTATTTGTTTTACCAGGCTGTCAGCCGCCCTGAGTCCGTAAGGAGAAAGGCGGGATAAAAATCCAAACAAATAAATAAATAAAATAAAATAAAATTAGGGAGGAAGAGATAGGCAGGGGGAGCTGAAACGGAGGTGAGAGTGGCAGGGCAGAAGCATGAAGTTCTCACTTAAAGACTGCAATCAGGAGTTGTGGAACAGCAGTTGCTACGTGTGCTCATGTATTGTTTCATCTAATAACCGCATGACATTACTTGGTGACAAAAATTCTAGTCCTAATTAGAATCATTAAGCAAGTTATAATTTCAGGTTTTAAATTGGGGTGGGGGAATGCTATGTGGTCCTGAGCTTTATGTTTGGCCAGGATGATATAAGGTCTCTTGCCTTCAGCAAGGGGTTGGATTAGAAGCCCTGTGATCCTATGTTCTATGTTTGTGACACTGGAACATTCCATAAAATGAGCCACAAAATTTCAGTTCAACCCACTCCAGTGATATTAATTTTACTACCCATGACTCCAACAACAGAAATTTTTAGAAGAAATTCCTGTCTAATTTTACCCATCTCTTAAGGGTCAATAAGATAACAAATGAAAAACATCCCAATCATATAACCAATCAGAATAGAGCTGGAAGGGACCTTGGAGGTCTTCTAGTCCAACCCTCTGCTTAAGCAGGAGACCATATATCATTTCAAATAGGTGGTTGTCCAGTCTTTTCTTAAAAACCTCCAGTGATGAAGTTCCTACAACTTCTGAAGGCAAGGTGTTCCACTGATTAATTTTCCTCACTGTTAGGAGGTTTCTCCTTAATTCCAGATTGCTTCTCTTCTTGATTAGTTTCCATCCATTGTTTCTTGTTGTGCCTTGGTGCTTTGGAAAATAAGCTGACCCCTCTTCTTTGTAGCAGCCCCTCAAATACTGGAATACTGCTATCACGTCACTCCTAGTCCTTCTTTTCTCTAGATTGGCCATACCCAATTCCTGTAACTGTTCTTCATATGTTTTGTTTCTAGGCCCTTAATCATCTTAGTTGCTCTTTGCACTTTTTCCAAAGTCTCAACATTTGTTTGTAATGTGGGGACAAAAACTGGATGCAGTATTCCAGGTGTGGCCTTATAAAGTGGTACTAATACTTCATGTGATTTTGATTCTATGCCTCTGTGTATACAACCAAGGACTGTATTAACGTTTTTTGGCTTTACTGCACACTGACTCAATTGGCCACAATTGGCTGTTATGCATTCACTAATATTTTTCAGCACAATTTCATAAAGGTGGGTAAAGTTCAACTCCAGCCTGATCAAAACAGAGAAAAAGAGATGAGTATTCTGCATATAAATATTCTAAGTTAAATTGAAGATGGACACCCAAACTTACCAGTTCTAATTTCTTCTTGATCTGTACCATTTACATAATCTTGACTTACAAGGGATGCAAAGCAAGCCTAGATAATTACAAAAACCATTTATTACAAAAGCAGATGTTAAGAGCTTTATGAAGGTAGATGTTTTTTTATTTGGCACAAATAAAGCTATACTAAAATATATATTTACTTTCTTGAAAAATATACTTCAGTGATATTTATTTCCTATTCTTTGCTCTATTAAAATGGCATACAAATTTAGTTAGGTTTCAAACTAAACCTAACTGTTTGGTTGGATGGAATAAATAGGCTCCATTTTTCAGATGAAGCTGAATTCAAATTCAAATTCTTACAAAATATGGAAATTTCACATACCATAAAGCATTATTTTTACTCTACAAAAAGAAAGGAATGCCTCTTAAAACCGTAAAAACATGATTATTCTACGCTGCAAATATATGCTTCTGAAAAATGAGTATGATTGATTTTAGCAGATAAATAATTTTCTCCCTTTCTTGCGATAATGAGTTCAGGAAGATCTTTTTATCCGCATAACAACGCCCTGCGAGGTACAGTCGACTGAAAGTGATGATCGGGCCCAAGGTAACCAACAAAGTTCCACAAGCCAAGGGAGATCACAGTCATTATCACCCCACACTGGCTTATATTAGAATGAAATGTTTCCTTATTCTGATCAGAAAAATTATTTTGTTAATATAGGATTAAAGGGCGCCTCTATTCAAGCTGGCAGCCATTTAAACACAGAAACGGAAGTCCACAAGGTACCCTCTAGCTAGCTACTTCATCTCTATAGTAGCCCCCTCGTCCAAAAAAGGACGGCAATAGTCCTGCGTTTCCCTACTTCCAGCGTCGGTCTTTCCCTCATCTCTATGGTAGGGGGAGGCCGCTCGCTTGCACAGCCTACCTCAAAAGAAGCCTCCAAATCATCCACAAGGGTACCGATGGAGTTTCGCGGACCCGTGGGGTTCGGCGGAAGGAGTCCCGCGGGTACCGGACCGCCGGGAGCCACCGGAGGAGGTGGCGGGGGAGGCACCGGGCCCTGATTCCCAAACATCCCACTTAGTCCAGCGGCCATAGTAACTGAGGGGAAGTTGGAGCGATTGCGCAGGCGCAAGAGGAAACGAAACCGCGCTGGTACATCACAACATCGCGAGATGAGGACCCAGGGGTGGGGACTCGAGGGTGGAAAAGGCCTTTTTTTCGAGCCTCAGTGAAAATGGAGGAAGGAATGAAAAAGGTGCAAAAATTATAAGTAATGAGCATGAGCAAGTTTTTGAGATGTTGCCCCGCGCCCTTCAGCGGCGGTGAATAGCCTCTTCCTCCAAGCATTTGGTCGCTACGTGTGGACGGTCTATACACATGTCGGAGAAGTTTCCTTCCCAGCCCAGGGACTACCATGATTTTCATGCGAATCCCATGAAAATCCCCCCAGCAGTACGTTGATTTATTTCAAAGGATTTTTGCCACCCACAAGCCAACGGTCCCTGATATAGACACTTTGTTATCTGGATTTTTGGGGGCTGAGGACAAACGCCAGGTTTTGAAAAAAGCCTTGGAGGAATATACTAGGGGATGGAAGGAAGCCACCAATGATGGACAAAGAGACATTGAACAGTGGCCAGCACCTGAAGTTGTTTTTGTTCCAAGTTTTGAATGTGATGTTAACATTGATGTGGGATATGGTGCCTTACTGAATTTTCACACAGCCATTCTCCATGGCATTAGAACTGGGGTCCCCAAGACTGTTAATTACTATAGAGTGAATCAGATTTTCCAGACAGCACAAGAGAGTCCTACTGATTTTATCAACCGATTAAAAGATGGATTTCGTTGTTATACAGACATTGATCCTGATAGCCCAGCCAGTGAACCACTTTTGAAAATGGCTTTTGTTGCACAAAGCACCCCTGATATTAGGCGCAAATTGCAAAAACTTGTTTCACCCAGTGCTCAAACTTTTGAACTCTTAATACAAACTGCTTTTGGAGTTTATGCCCAGAGGGAGGAGGCTGCAGAGGGGAAGGAGGAAGATAACATGAGGAAGCATGCCCAACTTTTGGTCGTCGCTCTCCAGCCTCGTCAGGCTAACCTGGGGCGAGACCAGTGTGCCCTTTGCAAAGCACGAGGCCACTGGAAAAGTGTATGTCCAAAGAATCGGGGCCGCGGACGGGGACGAAGCCCTGGAGGAGGAGGGGAGGATTTCCATCCAATAGCAGGGGACCTCCCCCATCCCGGCTGTCACCACAGCTGAACCGTTCCATCCTACAATGCAGACGTATGCTAATGACGGCTATCCCTCCCAATACTGATGTGGCTCCAGAGGTCTTGTTTCCTCCCCCGAACCTCTCTTGGAGTTGCAGGTAGGGGGAAGGAACGAAGTTTTTCTTGTAGATACTGGGGCAACTTACAGTGTCTTGCAGCATGCCCCTAAAGACTGAGTTCTCAGACTACTCCTATTGTTGGTGTCAGTGGGCAAACTGAAATGGCTCCCTGCACCACCCCTTTGTGTGTGACTCCAAGCCAAGGGCCCAAAGTTCAACACTCATTTCTGGTTTTACCCCAGTGCCCTATTAATTTGCTGGGCAGAGATTTGCTGGGGAAATTGGGAGCAACAATCACTTGTCAATCCCAGGGTATTTCTTTGGATTTTCCAGCTTTGCAAGCTTATATTTGTTATTTGGATGCTAGTGCACCTCCTGTTTCTTTTCTGGATTCCATTTCCCCTGAAGTTTGGTCTCATGGAATCCCAGGATTTGCTCATTATGCTGTCCCTCACCGAGCCCATCTTCACCCAGGGGCCCAACCTGTTTCCTTACGGCAGTATGCAATAAAAAGGGAGGCCCGAATTGGCATCCAGGGGTTCATCCAAGCCTTTTTAAAGAATGGGATTTTACGAGCCACCCAGTCTCCCTGGTCCACTCCAATCTTCCCAGTTCCCAAGTCTGATGGGTCCTGGAGAATGGTTCACGATTTGAGAGAAGCCAATTCTCGAATCCAAGCCTTGCATCCTATGGTGGCAAATCCTTATACTTTACTCACTACTCTCAGCCAAAAACAACGATGGTATACTGTAATTGACTTAAAGGATGCTTTCTTTTGTATTCCTTTGGCCCCAGAGTGTCAAGACTACTTTGCATTTGAGTGGGAGGACCCAGAGACTGGAGTAAAGGGACAATTGACGTGGACAAGGCTCCCCCAGGGCTACAAGAACAGTCCTACTGTTTTTGCTTCTGCTTTGGCTCGAGATTTGGAGGCCTTTTCTGCCCCTTGGTGTACGTTGTTACAGTATGTGGATGATTTATTGCTTGCTGCAGCAGATAAGGACCTTTTACTACAAGGGTCAGTTGATTTATTGAACTTTTTGGCTGAACGAGGATATAAGGTCTCTAAGCAAAAGATCCAGTGGGTCCTCCCCTAGGTTCAATATTTGGGATATGTTTTAAAAGGACACCGTTGCCTTCATGCCAGTAGAATTCAAGCCATCTCTGCCCTGCCTTTACCCACCAATGTTAAACAACTTAGAACTTTTTTAGGCATCATAGGCTATGCCAGATTGTGGATCCCGATGTATTCCCTGATTGCTAAACCGCTTTATGCCCTAACACAACAAGATGTGGCATGGGAATGGACTCGTGAACACACCCAGGCATGGCGACAATTGAAGGACGCCTTAATTAAGTCTACTAGTTTGGTGTTGCCAGATTAGTCTCAAGGTTTTCAACTGTATTGCAAAGAACAGGGTGGATGTGCCTTGGGGGTCCTAATACAACAAGTGGGCCCTGACAAGTTACCTGTGGGCTACCTGTCTAAAACCATGGATACTGTAGTGAAAGGATGGCCTGGTTGTCTCAGAGCAATTGCGGCTGTGGCTGAGCTGGTTACTGAAAGTCAGAAAATCATATTGGGAGCTCCTTTGAAGGTTTACACCCCCCATGCAGTTCAAGTATTATTGGAGCAAAAATTGCCAGCGTGGGCCACTTCTGCCCAAGTTGGAAGGTATGTGAGCCAGATCATAGAACAGGAAAATGTTCAACTTTGCTGATGTGACACCCTCAACCCAGCTACATTATTGCCTGTTCCAGAAGAAAATGCAGAACCCCATGACTGCTTAAAAGTTTTACAATCAATCACAGGTGCTAGAGTTGATTTAAGAATGGAACCCCTTGGAAACCCAGAAGTGTCATATTGGACTGATGGCTCCTCTTTTGTGGAAGATGGGGTCCGATACTCTGGTTATGCTATAGTCACTGATGAGTGACCTGTTGCTCTTGCTGCCATTCCTGCCTCATTTTCAGCTCAAGCTGCTGAATTAAAAGCTTTGATCGCTGCTTGTGTGTTGAGCCAGGGCAAGAGAGTGAACATTTATACTGACAGCCCATATGCCTTTTTGGCCGCGCACACCCATGCTGCTTTATGGAAGGAGAGGGGCTATACAGCCGCTGATGGAAAGTCCTTAAAAATGAAGGCTTTTTTGGAGGAGCTCATGGTTGCAATCCGACTGCCAAAGGACCTTGCTATTATCCACTGCAAAGGACATCAGGTGGATGAGGGCTTTGTAACTAAAGGCAAC